ATTTGCCAAAAACTCGCTCTTACTTCTATTAGCTAATTCAGCTGCTTCTCTTGCAGCAGTATTTTTTTGAATACTTTCTCTTAAATTATACACCATTTGATTTATTTTAGTTTTAAGAGAATCCATTTCACCAGATGCATCAACAGTAATAAATTGAGTAAAATCTCCGTCAGTTGCAGCAGCAGAAATTTGTGCAAATGCACGTACTTGAGAAGTTAAATTTGCTGCCATGGTATTGACATTAGATGTGATTTCTTTCCAAGTTCCCCTTACATCCTTAACTTGGGCTTGAACACCTAATTTTCCTTCAGTTCCCACTTCTCTAGCTACTCTTGTTACTTCAGCAGCAAATGTAGATAACTAATAAATGGTTATTTAAAAATAACAAAAAAAAATATAAATAAAAATATAATATAAATATTATATATAGAATAAAAGAATAATTGATTAAACTTACTTGATCAACCATAGTATTAATTGTATTCTTTAATTCAAGGACTTCACCCCTAACATCAACAGTAATTTTTTTACTTAAATCACCACGAGCAACAGCTTTTGAAACATTTGCAATATCACGCACTTGAGAAGTGAGATTTTCTGCCATTGTATTGACATTGTCTGTTAATTCTTTCCAAGTACCACCCACATCTTTAACTACAGCTTGACCACCAAGTCTTCCTTCAGTGCCCACTTCTCTAGCTACTCTGGATACTTCAGCAGCAAATGTATTAAGTTGATTAACCATAGAATTTACAGTGTTTTTAAGATCTAGTATTTCACCTTTGACATCAACGGTAATTTTCTTGCTCAGATCACCGCGGGCTACAGCAGTTGTAACTTCAGCAATAGAACGTACTTGAGTTGTAAGATTTGCTGCCATTATGTTTACATTATCGGTCAATTCTTTCCAAGTACCATCAACGTCTTTAACAACAGCTTGACCACCTAATTTACCCTCTGTTCCCACTTCCAAAGAGACTCTTGTTACTTCGGTGGCAAATATTTGCAATTGATCAACCATAGTGTTTATTGTTTTCTTTAAATCAAGGACTTCACCCCTAACATCAACAGTAATTTTTTTGCTTAAATCACCACGAGCAACGGCTTTTGAAACATTAGCAATGTCACGCACTTGAGAAGTGAGATTTTCGGCCATGGTGTTAACATTGTTTGTTAATTCTTTCCAAGTACCTCCAACATCTTTAACATCGGCTTGACCACCCAGAATACCTTCAGTACCTACTTCTCTGGCTACTCTAGTTACTTCAGCAGCAAACATACGAAGTTGATCGACCATAGAATTTACAGTGTTTTTGAGTTCTAGTATTTCACCTTTGACATCAACGATAATTTTCTTGCTCAGATCACCACGAGCTACAGCAGTCGTAACTTCAGCAATAGAACGTACTTGAGTTGTAAGATTTGCTGCCATTATGTTTACATTATCGGTCAATTCTTTCCAAGTACCATCAACGTCTTTAACAACAGCTTGACCACCTAATTTACCCTCTGTTCCCACTTCCAAAGAGACTCTTGTTACTTCGGTGGCAAATATTTGCAATTGATCAACCATAGTGTTTATTGTTTTCTTTAAATCAAGGACTTCACCCCTGACATCAACAGTAATTTTTTTACTAAGATCACCACGAGCAACGGCTTTTGAAACGTTAGCAATGTCACGCACTTGAGAAGTGAGATTTTCGGCCATGGTGTTAACATTGTCTGTTAACTCTTTCCATGTACCACCAACGTCTTTAACTACAGCTTGACCACCCAGAATACCTTCAGTACCTACTTCTCTAGCTACTCTAGTTACTTCAGCAGCAAACATACGAAGTTGATCAACCATAGAATTTATAGTATTTTTGAGTTCTAGTATTTCACCTTGCACAGGAACTTTTACTTTCCTAGACAAATCACCACGAGCTACAGCAGTCGTAACTTCAGCAATAGAACGTACTTGAGTTGTGAGATTCGCCGCCATTAGATTCACATTGTCGGTAAGATCTTTCCATATTCCACCAACATTTTTAATGTTTGCTTGGCCACCCAATTTCCCTTCAGTCCCTACTTCAAGTGATACCCTTGTTACTTCAGTTGCGAATGTTTGTAACTGTTTTAAACAGACAAACAAGTGTGAATGTATGTATAAAGATATAAGTGAAAATGTGTATATAAAAAAAAGAGATTTACCTGATCAACCATAGTATTTATGGTATTTTTTAAATCCAAAATTTCACCTCTTACATTAACAGTTACTTTTTTACTAAGATCTCCTCTAGCAACAGCTTTCGACACATCAGCAATATCACGAACTTGAGCTGTTAAATTTGCAGCCATTGTATTTACATTATCAGTAAGCAATTTCCAAGTCCCACCAACACCTTGTACCTGAGCCCTTACCCCTAGTTTCCCTTCTGTACCTACTTCATGAGCAACACGGGTAACTTCTGATGCAAAAGAATTTAATTGATCAACTAAAAAAAAAAAAATAAAAATTCACATTAAAAATGAATAATAATAGTAAATAATATGATTCAATAACAGTAATAATAATAATAATAAATTAATATTGAGATTCTTACCCATAGTATTTATAGTATTTTTTAGTACAAGGGTTTCACCTTTAACTTCAACGGTAATTTTTTTGCTTAAATCACCATGTGCTACAGCCGTACATACTTCAGCAATATCTCTTACTTGTTCAGAATGATTACTAGCCATCATATTTAGATGTATCATCATTTCTTTCCAGTCACCATCTAAATATTGATTTTTAGCTTGAATTCCTAATTTTCCTTCTTCACCAACTTCACGAGCAACTCGAATCAACTCAAAAGCCACGTTGTCAAGTTTTTCAACCATGGTGTTGATTGCATTTTTTAAAGTAAGCATTGGACCTGATGAATAAGGACAAGTAACTCTTTTTTTGAAATCTCCAGAAGTGACGGCTGTGGCAACAGTGGTACATTGGTTAAGACATTCTAAACAAACACGGTCATCGTGAACCAAAGCAGGTGGTGTTGAAGGAGGGCTTTCCTGACTTATATAATCGCTGGTAGGTTGATTTGTAGAATCATTGACATAAGCATGTATAGAAGAAGGTTTGTTGAAATCATCTGAAGGAGCGACCAACTGAACAGTGTTGGGATAATTGTCGCCATTAATAAGATTTTGCACTTCTAAACATTCATTTGGAGTGATAGGTAAAGAGGGATTTCCACCGTTTATGATTACAATTGAATCAGACTCGCTGAGAAATGCTTGATATTGAGCGACTTGTTTTTCAAGTTGTAGGTGACGCTCTAATAGTTTTCTTAATACACAGTCCAACTTTATTGTATTTTCATTTTGTTGGCCTTGATATTGTAAATTCAAGCAATACTCTGTATTTCCATCATGAAGATTTTGAAGGACATCAGTAACGTATCCAATAACATCCGTCGTCATGTATAAATATAGTTTAATTAAAAATTTAGAGGTTTTATTTTTTCTTTTTAGTTCTATTAATATTAAGAATTTTATATATTTATATATAAAAAAAGAAAGTACTAATTATTTTCTTTTTAGAAAATTAGAAAAACAATGAAAGAAAAAATTTTAAACAAAAATTTATTTTAAAAAAAGAAATTTTAAAAAAAAAGGTTTTAAATTATGGAGAGGAATATATTTGTTATTGTTGGAGATTACACAAGGGATTAAGGAACATCGCCAACCTTTTTTGACATAAATTAAGCTAATATTCTTGATTTAACTCGCTTCTAGGAATTTGTGTCACAAATAAAATAAATAATAAATAATGCAGACTATTGTTTCTTAATGATATTCTATTGATTGATCATAAAATTATCAAATTTTGGAAATTTTAGAAGAAAAAAAGCCACATGATACAAATCTGCGTGACAATGTCATCGTACGTACTTTTTACTCAATTGAAGGGTATTTTTTTAAAAAAAACAAAAACAAAAAAAAACAAAAAAAAAATCCAATTTGAAGAAGCAAAGAATACAAATAGGTTGATGAGAAATGAAACTTTAAATTAATTATTAATAATTAATTGTATACCGGAAAATGTATTAAACTGCTATACAAAAACAGATAATGTTATATTATCCCTGAGTAATAATTAAAATATTTTGTGAATTGTCCCTATACTTATTAAGCATGACGAATCGGGATAGTTTATTATAGAAAAAAGGTACACAAGGGATCGGGACACAAACAATCACACATATTATGAGTACACATTTAAAAAAAATTCTGCGCAGCGTCATGAGTCATTAACATCATTATTATATTGCTAGAGTAATAAAGATCCAGGACAAAAGAAAATTTCACTCCAAATGTCATTTCAGCTTTCGCTTCTTTTTATTATAATGATACATCAGATATTTCCTGAAATGAACGTCAAATATCATTAAACCATCGTTTGAAAAACTGTTTAATGCTGTGGTCGTTGTACTTGAAATGTTTGTCTTGGGTAGTTTAAAAAAAGAAATCTTTTTCTCGAGTATTTAAAAGTTAGGTAAAACAAATATAGAACACTTTCTAGAAGTGACCAACTTTTAATGTTTATTTGTTTATTTAGATTGAAATGAAAATAAAAACTTATTATCCATCATCAAACCTAAATCTAATAACAGTTAAATTGCTTCATTTTCACTATCAGAAAAGTACTTGATTTGTCTTTACGGAATATAAAGCATGGACATCCACCGGTTAAAATCCTTTATGGTAAGCATCCAAGAATGGCTTGCATACTTACGTATTTGTTCTCTAATGATACAGATTCAAGTGCTTTCTGTAACTATTTTTTCCAGCCCTTTAAAATGTGAATTTTTTGGTTGCTGCTCGATAAAGTTAAACTAAAAAAGTTCCGAAATCAGAAAATTAAATTGACCAATCAAAATTTAACGAAATATTAAGTTCATACTTACATAATAATGTTTACCTTTGTGAGCAAGTGCACTGAGTTATGTTACACGTATCAAAAATGGCCTTTGAATAAAAAACCATCTAGTAAATGTATCCACTTCATATGACAATGTTTTTCATTCAAACAAAGATGAGAAGGTTATTGGATTACACGATCACGTGAATTCTATTTTGGTATTTAGACCACGCGCCATTAATCTATTTTTTTTATTCTACATTACAATTTTATTATAAAAGAATAAAGGGCTTTATTTGGATCTTTTTTTTGTTATGAAATTTTATCACTTGATTGGTTCATAGTAATAGACAGATCAGCAACTAAATTTTTTAGCATATTTTTAATATATGTAAAAAAAAAAAAAAATCTTGATACACAGAATTTACTTGGAACTTTAAGGCCCAACCAATTTTTAGTTTAAGAAAAAATTATCCAATAAATATCAAGGCTCATATATACATTCATTTTGAATTTGAATTTCGAATTAATTTCGATTTTCCCGGCTTGCATATCTAAAAGAAATTTATAAAAATTCACTATCTTTTGATTGAGACATATTTGTATAGCTCAATCATAATCAAAATCTTTCATCTAGCATTGACACGTGTATTGTTAATTTATTGCGTAAATCTATCTTGATAAGAGAAAAACCGCATTCACACTGGGCAATGGGATTGAACCAATCATATCAAATGAATTTGGAACTATGTGTGTATAATTTCATGAAGATGGTTCAATAAAAATATTCTTTACTATTGCAACAACGTCAGTTTCATTTTCATGGGTAGACCCTGACAAAGAAAAATGAAAAAGAAAAAGAAGGATTGGAATGTTTTATAAAGAAATCCACAAATTAAATGTTTTTTTGGTAAATCTATTATTTTTATTTTTAGGAATATTCATAACTCCTCGAACCTGATCGATAAGATTTCAAATTTCAATAATGTAAACAAGTAGTTTGGATCCGATGAGTCGTTAATCACTTGGATCGATCAAAGCAAGATATTAAGGTTCCTACTTTAATAAGTAAAGACAAGATGAGGTTTAATAATTTATTAATTACTCATTAATAATTTAGTTGTTTTTATAGCAATTATATACGACAGGCTGGATAACGAATGGTTAACATTAAGTGTATATACATCCTTGCATTTTTAATTTAATTATGTTAAAACAAGAAAAAAGAAGAAGGAAGAAAAAGATAGTAGAACAGGATTAAGTCAGGATAGTGAGCTCAATAAACAGTAAGCAAGCATATTAGAAAATGTTATTTTTCAATTATTGCCTTAAATGTTGAACAACTAGAAACAATTATTGTATTTTGTATTTACTTGGACAAATGAATGATACTATTGCTACTACATCTGCAATGGCTATGAATCATCAGAGGCAAGTGAATCTGGAATTACTTAGAAGAAGATAAATTATGTTCTCTTTAAATGGGTATGACCAATTGTGTTGTTTTTAAATGAACTTGGATTTTTTTATTCCATCATAATAATATGTTTAAAAAGTTCAGCAGCCTCGTAATTTGATAAACAAATTTAGTAATGTGGTAAATGATGATGATCTGAAAGATATCTTCAACATTGAGAGCTAGAAATGAAAACCAAGTTGAATTCGGTATTGTAATTAATACATTTATTATTTTATTATAGGGTTTAATGATACGATTTGTGGATACACATTCATCCGTTCATCTTCCATTTACCTCTAAAAATTCAATCCGTCAGATTCAACGGATTCAATGGATAATCCAGATAATCCAATAAAATGTTAAATAAAATGTGTAAGCCAAACGCAAAAGGATCATTTAAACGAGAAAAAGCCCAAAATGCCCAAGTTTAAAAGCGAAGTAAAGAAAGGATGAAAGAAAACGATTTCTAATTTGTTACTTTCACTTAATTCGAACGGGACCCCGCAAACTATATAGATAGGTTACATACAAAAAAATCACGTATAGGGTTTGACCCACACTGTGATTGGCTTATCGGTGACAAATCTTTCCAAATTTGGTAATTTTCACCCGAACATTGCATTTTTCTAATAGTAAAATTTTTTAAGAATTACAAAAACCATTTTTATACTTAAAATTGCGACGCCAATGATAGATATTGCAGTTTTTATAAAGAAAACTTTTTATTTAGCATGCAAGTCATGCATACCTGACTGTTTTTACAAAGTGCGAAAAAGTTAAATAGATTCAAAAGTATTTGACGGATGAACATATCAAGCTCTGCTAAAAATATTCGACTTCATCTCAAAACCAATGAGGGTTAATTATCATTCTACTGACCAGTTTACACATTAAAATACTTGTGTTTAATTCCAAGACACAAATATAAGGTTTGAAACAAAGGTCCAAATCAGCTGACATGCAAATAATAATAAAAAATAATAAATAATCAACAAACTTGTAAATTTATAATAATAATAAAATTAATAATTTAAATAATAATATGTTAGAAAAAATCTTTTTCAGGACTTTTTAAGACTTTAAGTTCTAAACGGTATTTATTATACATTTTTGTTGTCATTGAAAACTTTTTTTCAACAGGAGAAAACTTTTAAATAAGTCATTGTTATTTTGGCAAAGATAGTAAATTTAAATGTAATCATAAATAAGAAATCCACAAATACGTCATTAATAAATAAAATATGCAAACTCTAATCTTTCGAAAATTGTTTACATAATTCTTGATCAAAAACAAGATTATTCTTTTGAGCATCCAAAAATTTACCATTATAATCGTCAATATAATCAGCAAATGATAGAACATTATGCACCATATTCTGGTGGATGTGATAAAATTGATCTAGAGAATTTCCAGATAGTATTTAGTGATTTCCAAAATTTGTATCGATAAAACCAAGGTGCACTGATACTGATGCAATATCTGATAAAAAAAAAGGCATAATTTGTGTTGTTAAATAATATAAATATATATATATATATATGAATTTACGAATGAAAACTTACTTGAATCTTTATATTGACGAGGAAATTCATTACTAAAACATTATTGTGAAATCTTCAATTTCAATCAAAACTTTAACTGTTAAAATAATGGGTAGCCAAAAAAAAAAAAAATTGACTTTACATTTAGTTTTTGCTTTGAATAATTGAGGCTTTTTAATAATAATAAACTAGTAATTTTGATTAGCGACTTCGTCGCCTGTTGGGGTGTGCGACATTTTAAGAAAATCAAACCAACAAATAAATTTTGTTACATAATATATAGAGAAAATATTCCAAGCCTTGTATCTCATTTTTCTACTATACAAACCGGGTTCAATTTTTTCACCAATTATAAATTCTTGTGTTGAGATTATTGTTGAGTAAAAAGTCACAAAAAAAAAAAAAGAGAAGCTGGATTTACATTATCGAATACCCCAGTCGCCTGTGTACTGATACACCAATATTAATTTTGTATTTTGTTTAAAAATAAATTTTTTTTTTACAACAAAAAAATTGTAATCATTCATAACTTTTTTAATTGTTAATAGTTGTTAGACT